ATACTGAATTAATACTGAATATTGAATTAATGAATATTTTAATGAATTAATGAATATTTTCATTAACTTCATAGAAATAAGTGGTAGTGGACTTCATATAGTACACTATAATGTACTTCACTTGACAGCCTCCTACATTAATATTCATCATAAAAACCTGTTCTGAAATTACTTGATTTGGCAGAAGGGTGTTAACAATGATAAATGCTTTATAATGCACTTACACAATAAGAATATTAGTAGAAATTATGGTTGGTCTTTGTTTTTATCCATCTTTCCAAATTTTGGAGTTGAATATAATTTGGAATTATACGTAAATTATTATGTATAATAAATTATGGAACACTCTCACAACATTTTTTATTTTATTTTCATGTTATAGAAAACAAAGGAAGGCAGTTGCAAGAAAATTATTTTTCCTTTCTTTTGTTTTTATTCTAATTGATAAGAGAAATCTTCCCCCTCTGATTCATTGGGCTTGAATTCATAAAAAAACCAATCAACCAGTACTGTCTGGAAAATTGGGAAATAAATGAGTCTTTGCTCAGATCTATTTTTAAGTTAGGCTCTCAAGAGTTGATTAGTGGCAAATCATTGGGAAGGAATTTAGCTATTATATATGCTTCTTCAAATTACTTTACTTTGGCAACCTCCTTCACTTTCAATAGCAATCAAAAAGAAGAAGCATATTAAAACATTGAAAAAAGGAACAGTTTGGAGTTAAACCCTGGTTTCCCAGTTCAAAGGCAATGGTCTCACCACTATGCTATTCTGGCACAGCCAGGAAAAACATTTTGAGATTGCACCATGAAGAAAATATGTCCACTGCCTCTCAAGACAAACCTGGTAAATTCAAGATAGAGAGGAAGATGCAAAACATTAATCCCCAAAAGAAGAATTTGGTGATTGGACTAGAAACCATTCTGCTCATTGAAAATTGTAATTTCTGCTCAGAGGGAGGCTGCAATAGAACTTCAGTCTAACTTTTAGAAGACTTAGAGTTCACATACTAATTTTACAGTTATTTAAATCTGGGCTACCTTGCCAATCATAAGATTTGATTAGTCATTTCATTAAGTTTATACATGCACACACAATTAGTGGATTTCTATTTTCACATTCTTTTTTTCTTATACTTTTCAGTAAGCAGAGTTTCAGATTTCCACAGGGTAAGATATATATTAACAGTTTCTTCTTAAGGATAGTTACAAACTGAAAAAAGTTAGACACCTTCTGATAAACATAAAATGATACAAAGTGAAGTGCATTGTGACAGGGTAAGGCTGGGTTTTTCATCTTTCCTTTGGGTTTTGGAGTAGCTTATGGGCATTTTATTTGTTTTTAATTATATTAAGCCTCATTGCCTTGCAATATTTCTATGTTTAGATCTCAAAATGGAATTTTTAGAAATAATGGTCACAACATGAACCATAACTTTCAACCTATAGTATATACTAGAGTAGGGGTGTCAAACTCGCAACATCATGTGACGTGTCACGACATATCGTGACCTTTTTTCCATTGCTGGCAATGGGGTGGGCACAGTTCCGCCATGATGCATCTGGCCTCTGGGCTGGCAGTTTGACACATCTGTACTAGAGCATATGAAAAGGGACTCAAAGAACAACTGCTGAAATGAACTCATCATCTGACATCTTTATTCTAATGATGCCTCTTTTTACCCATGTGATATTCTTGGGTGAAATAGAAATGATAGGGGTCAACTTCAGACACTGTAAAATGAGCACTGCCAATCACAGCGTAGTGAGATTTTCAATGTCCATTCACAGAACATGATGACACTGTCAAGGAAGATAAATGTTCTTCCAAGTACACAAGTTTAAAAATGTCAGCAATATATCTCATATATTCTGTGATGGCAATCAACATGGGCAAACATCAATTGTTATGGGAAGAAAAGTATTTCAGAAAAGAGCAGAAATATAAGACAAAAAGGCTTTTAGACAAATGCCATGCTATTATTTTAAAACCAGTGATCTGACGTATACTGAAAAAAATTAAAAACAATATAGAAACCAGTATTCTTTTTTTTAAAAAATGTCTTTTATTTTTTTACATGTGTACCCTGACATGCCATTCAATTTTAGGTCACAAAGCAGCTGACAATCATAAAACATCCCTCAACTGTAATTAAAAAAAATAAGAGTACCATGAAATCCATTTGTAGTATACCAGCAAACAGAAAAGAAAAGAGCAGTGGCTTCAGGAGGCCATTGTAAATGTATTCTTTGTAGAAATAAGTGTAATTCAATTCAGGGAATCATTCCCAGAAATCAGAGAATAGAAGGCACTATTGATTCTAAACTAATTAATTAATGCATTCATCCTTTCATCCCTCCATCATCAGCTGTCTATCTTTAGAGACATAACTCTGGGAAGTTCATAGAACAAAACATCATAAAAACAAAAAGTAATTAAAGCAAAATCTTGGCAGTACAACCAATCTTCTTCAGTGTAGCCACCACAACCTCCACAGGCGCCAACTTCATCCTGTTCCAGAATTGGGGGAAAGAGTAAGAGACTGGGTGCCTACTGGATCTCAAGTAGATGGGTGATCTACAAGACTGGGGCTATTACAGAAAAGTTATGCATCCATCAGATGCAACATTTAGGAGAGGGGACCTGGAGCATGCCTATGGCATCTAATTTGGTGGAACATGCAAATAGTTCAAGGAGCTAATCCATAATGCAATGTGACATGACTTCTATTGAGATTTTTGTTGGTTTTTTAAAATGAATTTTGATATTACTTACTAAATTCTTAGAAAGATACAAATAAATGAACTAAACAATTAATAAAACAAATGGCTACATTTCGAATGTAACATCCAGAAAAACAAAAGTGAATAGCAATATCAGTATTGTCCACATATATTAAAAATTCCTACTCCCTCACCATTTTATTGATTTATTTCTATGGTTAAACTTCCTTCTACTGTTTTTCAATCTATTCTTTTTAGGAGAACTTGCTACCAGTATCATATTGGTACCAGCTGTCAATTTAGTCTGTTCACTATTCAGAATCATTGCTCAATTACAGGTTTAAGAAAAAAGCTTTGTGTGGAAATGTAGGACATAATGTTGAAAAGAGGAGAAGAGGGTATCCATATGATCTGTTGGTAGGATCTGAAAATACATTCCTACTTAAACAGCAACTTTTGCTCAAATCTTAATTTGTTTAACGTGCTATTTCCATGTTTTGCACAAACACTATGATTATCCTAAACAGTTGCCAATCTTAACTTTTATTTCAGCTACAATCATCAGTGTATCTCATTCTTTTCCCATCAGCATCCTCAGATATAATAACAAACATATCAACATTTTGCTCATCATCCTAAGTTATTTATGAGAATAATAAAGGAGGAATAAAAAAACCTAAAAAGCTAGATAAGATTTTCATTTTGAATATAATTGTTCTACCCTGCAATTTCATTTTCCTTTCAATGAAAAAAGCTGTTTGCAATATAACCTAAGACTAATTTTTTGGAAGGAAGTTTAATAATGGATTCATAAAAAATAAATTAACTGAATTTAGAAGTAATCAATTTTGGCACAATTTAATTTTACACATAAATTTAAAATTGCATAAAGTGCTTTTAACAATATGACACTAAACATGTTACATAACAATAAGCTCCACAGTAATTTACTTCCAGGAATGTTAGTATAATTTCAGACCTAGGTGGATTTTTTGAGAATTAAAGAGAGGGGGGGGGGAGAGAGAGAGAGAGAGAGAGAAGGAAAAGAATTGAAAATATTCAGAAACGTTCAGATTGAGAAACCTTTATCATATGATAACTATCAATAAGGAAATAATTATATTACCTGCACAAGAAGTTCCTTTACTGACAATGAAAGAATAAACACATAACTTCTCTAAATCAACCTTATAAAATTAGGAAACAAGCTTTGGTTGTAGAGATTATATCAAACAATCTAAGGTAATCCTAGATGGAATACACCCTAAAGCAAAGATTATGATGCAAATATGTGCAGGCTACCTAAATTCCTATTGATCAAAAGATCTCTAGAATATATATGAAAAAAATGAAAAGAAAATACAGTAGAATGGAGAAAAAAGATCATGGGTTAGCTTGGGAAAAATGCAAATGCATCTTGACCATTTTTATGTACTTTATTTATCTTTATTTATTAAACTTGTATGTTGCCCATCTCACCCAGATGTATGGACCTTGCATACTACAAACACTACGGTAAACCAGAAAAGGACAAGATCAGTTCTTTTACATAAAATACTGAATAATACTGTTTATAAGGTTTCCTAGATAGTGGTTCAGATTTTAAATACAAGGCGACTGAAGTTCCATCAACTTAGTAGCTGCTGGCAATGTTTTTATTACTAGGAGAAGTAGAGAGAAACAAATACAATCTGATTTTGATCAATAATTTTAAACATAGTGTTTTTCAATCTGTGCAACTGAAATATAAGAATAATGCATTTTGGTCACACTTACCTGTTTATAAAGGTGGAGAGTACATGACAATTATCCAATTTGAAATCATGCAATATCTTGTGGAATAATAATAAGTGACAATAAAGCTTTGACAAAATGCTTACAAAAGAGGCTTCTGGATGAAACTAGTTGCTTTTTTCCCTATGTTGGTAGTAAAAATAGTCATAGAAAGCTGCAAAGAGGGAGGCAGTTTTGACCTGGACTACAAGGCTCTGAGCAATTTTAATTGTTCGCTGGCAATGGATATTACTCATCTTAAAATATATGCATCTGTGCCTGACATGATGACAAACATCTTTTTGCACAAGAGAAATCAGTTACACAACTTGCCATGATTACCTTCCCCTTGTAAGTATACTGGGAAGAAGAAACAAATCAATATTATACAGAATGATGGCTCAGGCATGAATCAGAATGGCAAGCACATAACCCAACGGACATGGCAGTCAACAAGGGGAAAAGAATAAAAGAAATCAATCACAACAGAAATAATCGCTTAACCTGTTTTGTCAGAGTTGGTATTGATGGTATTGGTAGTGATGGAAGTGAAGATAGTCTTTGCGCTGTCCTTGGTAGTTACACATTTCTGCTTATTTTTCATGGCTTCCAGTGCTTTGAGCTTCTTGGCATGTTTAGTGCCTTTGTAGTGGGCCGCAGCCTGGCTCTACAAAGGAGAACAAAATGAACCATGCAATCAGGCTCATTTCTAAAATGGCATTCTCTGTATTAGTACAAATACAGACCACCTTTCAATAATGGGTACCATTTTCCATACCAAGATAATGACCAAACTGAAGATTTCCTCCTAAAATGATCCTTTGGAAACAGTGAAACAGGAATATTATAGATTTCAGGAAAACTATCTTGCTTTCTTAAATCAGAAAATACATTCAAAATTTGGCATTTTTCCTCTCTGAGGAAAAATGGAATTTAATTTTCTTTGAAACTAATTTTATAAAGACATACATTAAGTGAAAATTTAATTTCAACTGCAGCCATGTAATATTTTTCATAGACACCAAGAAAGAAAAGGAGAATGCAGTCATCTCTTTTTATGAAGAAGACAACCAGCATTTACTTAAAAGCTATATTATATTGTCCAAAATTAAAGACTATTGTTTTTCCCATTGCAATTGATCTGACACAATTGCAACACAATTCTCTGTGTTGAAAACTTCTGGTGAAATTAAAGTACTACTTGGACTAATTTGTTGAACTTGTGAGTTTCCCACAAGTAAAATCAATGGGGAAGCTGGTAGGAAATCTGAAGTCATGGTCACATGAGGTCCTTGTTTAATGACCTTCACAATCCTTGTTTAAGGATGGCACCTGGGACTGCTGTAACTGCCATTGCTAAGTGACATGATATAAATGCTTTTTCAACTTATGACTCCCTGTTTAACAACAGAACTTCCAATTCCAATTAGCTTTGCTAAATAAGGACCCTCTCTAACACTATTCCTGTGATATTTATCATATAAAGCAGCCATCTGCATTCACTTCAGTTCATTATTAGTATTCTAACAGGGCCTCAGCTGGGATTTTAGTTCAATCAGTCAACAGTTGCAATCACTGGACTGGATCCAGACTTTGCTTAGACCAACAGAAGATACTCTCAACAATGAAAGTGGAAAATGGTCTTTATACAATCCACAATTCCCCAGAAGTCATTTGTTTCATCTGGAAAGCTACTTCATAATTTAATCATGTTACCCAGAGTAAAGGAGATCAGCGGATACAACTGGCTGCAGAGAAGAGGGAATCAGCAAATATTGCCAGCAGAAACCTTCTATTGGAGAAAATGCCTTCCAATAATGGACAAAGCTCTTCCTTTTCCAGTATGTAATTTTTCATCCAACCTTACTTTTACTATGTTGATATAAAAATACTGTTAACTGAGTCACATCATTTCAGTAGTATAAACTATTTTATTTCAAGTGGTTTTTTTATATGTGAAATCATAACCTGGTTAAATTACTTTTATAGGTGCAGCATCTAAATTAAAAAATATAGTTCCTGGTATTATGCTACAGTTGGGAAGCACAACCAGAAACCCAGTGGGGCTCTGTTGTTAAGAAATGGCAAAATTCTGAATTTACAAATTATGTTTATGTTATTTTCCTATACGTGTTCATGAGCTGTTGAAGAATTTATTTTATTTTCTTCCAGATTAATAAGGGAATGGCTTGTGCATGCATGCAAATGCACAGAATTTAGGTAGCATTAACTGAAATTTTGTATTTGTCTGTTGGTCTATTATAAGCATCAACAGAAAATTAGGATTAGGTCAAAATGATGATATATGTGTGGTGATGTCATGATACATCCCAATTTATAATGCATGTAGATTGCAGATTTTCAATCATGATTATTTTTTTTACTTGCTTCCTCCACTTCCCCTATCCTATGAATGCTCAAAGGCCTAACACAATTCCTTCCTTTACTTAAATGTGAAAAATGAAAAAAACTGAGTTTCTTATTCCATCAGTCTAGTGCAGACTTTTGTTGTTGTTGTTAATTGCGAAGTCATGTCCGACCCATCGCGACCCCATGGACAACGTTCCTCCAGGTCTTCTTGTCCTCTACCATCTTCTGGAGTCCATTTAAATTCATACCTACTGCTTCAGTGACTCCATCCAGCCATCTCATTCTCTGTCGTCCCCTTCTTCTATTGCCTTCAATCTTTCCCAGCATTAGGCTCTTCTCCAGTGAATCCTTCCTTCTCATTAGGTGGCCAAAATACTTGAGTTACTGCAGACTTTAAAGACTACTATATGCATAGCTGATTCACATTTTGGGGGGGCATAGGGGGTTTACTAATAATGTTGCTAAGGCCTTGATCCTATATCAGTCTGCAGTATTAATTGCAGAAGTGGAAAGGACATATCAAATGGATACCAATGAATTATTCCAGCTTAGAAAATTCTTAGAGATTACTATATTCAAGGGGAATGTGTCTTCTTAATGATGTATTTGAACTCAGTATTCTAATACATTATCCCCCGGTTGGTACCCTCAAAATTAGTTAGAACTATAACTTCCAGGATTTTCTATCTTTTGATCAAGCTGATTAGGAATTCTGGGAACAGAACTGTAGCTGTAACACTTTTGACCAATACCAACATGGGAAAGGCTGTTCTAACACCCCCAACCTATAAAATAATAAGAGAACTACTTAATACAATGCATTAAAGAAAAGTACTTCTGAAAATGTAGTGGGGTGAATGAAGCACTACTTCAAATGTTAAAGTAGCCAAATTATTTCAAATTATTCAAGGTTTGTCTGAAGAATGTCCTGCTTAGGATTGTCCATGTGCATGCCTAGTCACACCACTTCGCTGCTGATCCTAACAGGAATATTGTATACAAAAAGATTGAGAAATTTGGAAAACATCCTTCAAAGCAATTAGACAAATCAGAAATAATGCTTTATTCATGTCAACATGCTTTGCAAAGCATCTTGTCTAAATGCTTTTCAGAGCCCTAATAAATAGTCTCCACTACATTTGCACATTTTTTAAAAAGTTAAAGCTTATCACCCCTTACATATTAACACTAACATGGGATTGGAATCATACTATAATCACTGAGCTTTTCCTCCTACATAATTGCTCTGTTTACTAATAGCTGGGATACAAGTAGGTTAAAGAAACTAATTTGCAAGTTCAAATTGAAATATATGCTGTATATCTGTGCATATGTACCAAAACAACATTTTATCATAATATTTAATTTTTCTAATATATAGAAAACCCACTATGTCTGGGTTTACATGGCTATAAAATTTGTGATGCCTCTAATAGAAAACTATTTAAGTACATATAGCTAGTACATATAGCTAGTTATATAAATTTCCCTTTCTCTAAATCTGCTTTGGTATTGTTGTAGGTACCCGTATTGAAAGAACACTGGACAGTGAAGATAATCATTAGAAACAGCTCAAACATAGCACAATCATGCACCTTTACAATTTTCATACAACACAAAACTTTATGAGACATATTATAAGCCAAATGTGAACATATAATGTTAATTACTATTAAATTGAAAAACCAGTGTTAAGGTAGGATGGCATAAATAAAATGACAGCATCTCTTGCATATTTATGTCATCATTGCCATGTGTGTTTTTGTGCTTTACCAATATATTAAAAATTCTTTTTCATTTGGGACAACATTTTGATAATATTTATTGACTCAGAAACTATATACAAAGTTAATTTACTTTTTCTAATTTCAAGTCTTTAACTTTTCACAGACATTATATTCACTACCTTTTATTGAGAAAGGCAATCAAGTAAAGTAATTTATTTAAAAGATTTCTACAGTTGCTCTTCCTATGCAGCACAACTCTGGGTAGCTTTCAAAAAGCAATAACAATGGGGAAAAATACAACATAATCAGAAAAACTCCTGATGCCCTCCAAATGACACTTCCCAACACCTTAATAGTTAACTTTCCTGTGATCCAACATCACACTATCCCGGTGTTTATGGGAAGAACAGGCTCTTTTAAGGTCTCTCGAAAGCTAGGATTGTGACCAATGATTTTCAGGATATTTTAAATAAATGTGTAAGGGTAAATCATAATGAACTAAATTAGAGTTCCATTTCTCTAATATATAAAATCAAAATCTCTGAGTGAACTGATAAGATTATAAACAGTTTTTAACTTACTGGAATTTTATTTATTCTTGCTATTTACAAAGAAGTTAACATTCTTTGTCCTAACATTTCAGTATGCAAATACTACATTTTTGATACAAAGATAAAGAAAGTTGTTTTAAGGCAAATAGCATTGGCAATTTAATGTGGGAAAGAGAGACTGGCCAACTATTTAATCAGTTAAAAATCAAGCTAAACTACTTATCCTTTCTAGAATGCAAATGGAAATTGACAAAAATCTATTACAGTCCTTTCCATAAGGAATAGAATAAGAGTTTAAAAATATTTCTAAACTTGTTGGTGTTGTTGGCAAATATGCAAAGTAGTTATAGTATATATGCTTGGCTATTTTTTTCTCAGTTTTTTTTAAAGGCTTCATCATAGAATGTCATATCTTTAAAACATAAGGGTTAAAAATAGACAGATCAAAAATGCAAATTATGTAGGAATGTCACGCAGAAAAAAAAAATTGGAGCCACAGTCTAAACCGAAATGGAAACCATGATTCAAACCATGAAAGAGGCCAAAAACTGATTATACTTTTCATCTAGGAAACATACATAATAAGACAAGTCTTGAGAAAATAATGGTAGAAAATAAATAGTTCAGCGAAAAATAGCATAGATTTTAAACATATAATAAGCTTACAATGCTAGCGTTTATTTGGCATCTTAAAGGAATTTGTGCCATGATGACTATTTGCTGCAAAAATAAAGTAACACCTATCAGTTATTCACCAAATATTTAGCCTATTCCTGAATATTTCAATATTATATTTTGGGTATTTCCCATTGCCAGACAAACAACAACATCAATCAATATTCTGCAGTCTAAGCAAGATTTTCTTTCTTTTCAACAATGTTTAGATTTCATGAAAATGTGTAATACTGCCAGTTGCTGGATAATTTAGCAGCCTTCCTATGAATAGAAAAGCTAAGATGTTGCTACATGCCTCATTCTTGATTATTCCTGGATGATCAGGAGAAGAGAGCATCCATAAT